GTTGTACCTCGTTCCTTTCCTTCAGGGAACAGTAGTTATATGCATAACATTACGATATTGCCACAAATGCATTGGGGTGTTGTGTCTGTGTCTTAGCAACAACGGAACTGACGATATCACATGCATTGTCAGCAACAGCTGAGGGTGGAATCTAAACAGCTGCCAAAATAACACTGGTGAACTCTCTTGGTAAATAATATGGACGAAAACTTACTGCCAAGAGTTCAATGTCTGGACTGCAGTGACGAAACATCACAGTAACATGTCCTGGATGACACCATCTGCTAATCCACCTCGTTTCTTTTTCCCGCTGCTCTTTAAATCTCTGCCTGCTCGTATAGTCTGGAAGCTGGCAGAGAGATGTTGGCATCAGGGACATGATCCTGCAGCCATGTCTCAGTGAAACACATAATACTGCATTCCCTATACTCTTGCTGAGTCCTTGTCAGGGCTTGAGGTTCATCCAGTTTGTTAGCTAATGATCTCACATTGCCCATTAGGATTGATGGAAGTGATGGTTTGAACTTCCTCCTTCTCTCTCGCCTCTTTGCTCCAGCTCTGCATCCATGATGCCTCCTTTTCAACTCCTCTGGGATTTGCGRTTTCAGTTGATGCATTATTTCAGATTTTGCTATATTAAATCAGCTGCTCCCTGTTGTAAACCACCCTGTTGCTATGGTTACGCATAAAGGCAGGAATGAACGCCTGAAAAGAAAAGAAAATCTCAATAAAAGTAACAGAGCTACTCCAACGTGCTGCCACCCTCAGTGGCGCAATTCCGAAACGTAATTTTTTTCGAAATTGATGTGTTTCCATTGAGCAAATTTATTTTCGAAATTCTAATTTGCACATTTTCATGGTCAATGGAAACGCAGCWACTGTTGTGCATGTTTTAGATTTTTCCCCACTCCAACACATCTGAGTCAAATGGCTAAATTAATTTCTCAGCTTGCTGCTAAGTTCTGCAGAAAAGCCTGTGAACCTGTTCAGACCTGGGACTAACGTGTTGCAACACAAACACTGTTAAGAGTGACTTGAGTCACACTTCTGTCTTATCTCTCAGTAAGCTTAATTACCTTACACATGTGAAAACAGCAACGTTAGGGAGCATTAACAGCAACAAAACAAAACAAATCACTGAGCTCAGTGTTCACACTGCTCACTTTACAGCAGTAAAACAAAACAATATCCCAAGCTTTGAACATCACACAGAGCTCTGTTCCCATCATATAAAAATGTAAGGCACTACTGCAAACCTACCGAATCGTTCAAGACTAACAGGTGGGGAAAGCATTAATATGAGAAGTAGCCAAGAAACAAGTGAGAACATGATCTCAAAAGAACAAAAATAAACAGTTGTAAATTAGTTTCGATTTTTACATGTATTTTACATGTATATTGCATATATATTATGCATATGCAATAAATTTTAACTGTCACACTATAACATTTTATACAACTTATGCCAACTTGTGAAAATGTAAAAAACATCTATGTTGAAGATCAAATTTTAAAAAAAATCAATGTTAGGCATGTACATTCTATAATGCTAACAAACTGAATCTCTACATTTCATATCCTACTGTCACATAGCAATCAGAAGAGGAAAACTGCTTTGCTTCTATTCATTTATAAGAAAAAAACTTACGCTTTGACCATGTGATAGTCGGAAGCGTTGAAGACATAGCCTCCAATGACCCACATGATTTCCTGCTCCACTAAAGCCTTGTGGGAAACCCTTGCGAGCCCAGCATCAGTGTACTCCTCTCTACTCCAAAAGGAGGAATTGGCAGGAAGAGAGATGGAACAGTCTGCACCTGAGAGGCAAAGGAAACCACAAAGTCAAGGCACCAAAGAAAAAGAAAATGAAGGAAATTAAGGAGTTTATTATTATTTTGTTTTATTTCTAGTCTGTTTTTATTCCTTGAAGGAACAACAACTGTCATATTTTGAAAAGGATAACTCAAGCTAAGCAACAAAAGATTTTGTTAATGGAGAAGAATAATTCAAGCAAAAAAAACCTGAGTGAGCGCTAAATGAAGATGATAGTAAGCTGGTGGTGGGGTGAGCAGAAGGAATGAGAGTTGGGTTCAAAGCCTCTTGTTGGAGGTGGTGATAGAAAGGTTGACAGACGAGGTCAGGCAGCAGCTCCCATAAATGTCAAGAGACAACATGTGAGCTGCTGTGAAAGTAGGGAGCAGGTAGAAGAAAGCCTGGAGAGGTGGAGGTCTGTTCTGGGGGAAAAAGGAATGAAAGATGGTATCTGTGTGTGTTGATGACAGCTCGGTAATAAAAACATGGATAGTTTCAGTTGATCTCTTGGATCGTTTTTGCTTAGTTTGGTTTAAGAACAAATTTATGAATACTGTTAATTTCCAGTCTGTCAGTCTGTGATTCTAAATGATTAAAACAATCCAAGATCTATGTTGTGTAATAAAATGTTAACTTCTTGTATTTGTCAAATTCCAGGGGGAGATATTTATATTTGTTTTGTTATCAAAAATGAACAAGTTAGCATTAATCAGAAAACAAAGTAATAATAACAGGAAGGGAATAATTTCAGTAGAAAAATAGCTAAAATCTCTAAACATGATTGGAGTACTGTACAACTTTAGTGTTTCTACAACAGCAACTCACAACTTTAAGGGACAGAGTTTTAWAAAGCTGTGTATTTATAGTAAAAACATTAAACTCAAAGTATTTCTGATTTAGACATTTGTCAGCTTTTGCACAAAAGGTTTATTTTAATTTGGAAGCTGTCAGCAAAACTCATTCATGGTATGACATCCCTCTGTGTAAGGAATAGAAATAGAAAAAGAAGAGACTGTTTAATATGCCCGTAAATCAATGTGTGAGCTTCAGTGCATGTTCCACACCTTATTTCATGTTTCTAGTGTATATCTGTGGCAGCGTTACAGTGCCACATACAGGTTTGGCATAGTTACCAATGCATTTTGGGAGGTTTTCTGCATTTCTGTGAGGATGAAAACATTTTTTTACTAGGGTGCCACATTTTCAAGGATATCTTAAAACTTTAATACTTCCTGGAATGGAAACTGCAGTGAGAAAGCCCTTGCATCTCACTATGCACTTTAGAGTTGATTTTTTAGCAGAGACGGAAGAGAAAAATAACTGAACGAGTGAAAAATCCCTTTCATTCCACCAACAAGATCTTTAATCTCTTGTCATCAGAAGACAATACCATTCTCAGGAAATAAGGCTGCTAAATTTCCTGTAGCACTCTCAACACACCACTGTACAAACGAAACTACAGTATGGTTATGTTTCATTATATACAGTATTCTAAAAACAGTAATGTTAAATAAATTATCTCTCACCTTAAATCACCTAATCGTCTCTTAACTTCTGAATAAACAACAAATGTGTGATATGAGGCTGCAAAAGCTTCAATATTAGTGTTGAAAACTGAAGTTTCAGTTTCTGGTTCAGTTACCAGATAAACAGGCAAAATTTGGACARATAAAACATCTACAGGAAACCCAAGCTCCTAAGTGCTGAGCTACAATGGATTCAGAAATGGATGACTGGAGAGGTGGGAGGACCGGCAGCAGAGTGCTACAATGCTAGTAGAGGTGGTCATCGATGGGGGGACTTTGGTAGGCAGGGGTTATGTTGACAGGGCAGGGCACCCTCCTTGGATAATAATAATGTTACATTAACAGTGAAGCTGTGTAGCACACCACTAACAACAGGTTGTCGATTTCTGATTTTACAGAATCAGCAGGCCTGCTGTCATACGGTTTGTTTCTCATTGCTGACTGTGTGACGTGGCTACATGTTTACATGCATGTAGAGCAGATAACTGACTGGTCCATACACACTTGAATGGTAGGTGTGAACAACCTGGCTGTCCACTTGTGACTGAATCAACCAAAACATTTTAGTACAAGATCTGAACAGAAATCCAGGTTATGTATATATGTGAGCCATGATAACATCGAAACGAGGATTAAGTCTAAAAATCGTATATGGAAAAACAGGCAGATACAGGTTTTGATTAAAACGCTTGCAAAAATAACATTTTGTCAAAATATAACAAATAAATGTGTTATCAATGTATCATTTCAATGAACTGTCTGAAATATTATCCTAAAAAAAATTTTTGAAGCACTTTTTTGAGCATTAGCAACCAAAAACCCGATTTTGAGGAAAAACGCCTTAAAATGTTGAGATTTTCACTGTGAGCTATCAAAACTTTTGTTTCTTTCCAGTTGGGAAATCTCAATATTCATATACTATTTGAGGTTTCTTTTTGCAAATGACATAAAAAAATC